CCCACAGACGGCCCAAGAGGACCCAAAGACGGCCAAGATGGAATCCAAGACGGCCAAGATAGCTCCAAGACGGCCAAGAAGAGCCAAGATGGCCCCCAAGACGGTCCCAAAACGCCTCCAAGACGGCCAAGATGGCCCCAGACCTAAGATCCTTCCAGACGGCCCAAGAGGCCCGAGAAAGCCCCAAGTGGGCTCCCAAAGAACTCCCAGGAAGCAAAGAGCAGTGATTTCCCATATGCGACCTTCGGGCTTCCGACGCTCCAAGGCGGGCCCACAAGCCCGCAAGATCGCCCCAAGACGGCCCAGGAGGCCACCAAGAGGCCCGCAAGACGGCCCAAGAGGGCCCCTAAGACAGCCCAAGAGGCTCCCAAGACCCCCCCAAGACAGCCCAAGAGACCTCCAAGACTGCCCTCGAGCACCCAAAAGGAACCCACGACTGCCCAGGAGGAAGACCCCAAGAGGCCCCCAAGACGGCCCCTAAGAGGTCCCCAAGAGGTCCCAGGAGACCCCGAAGAGGACCCAGGAGGCCCCCAAGATGCCTCCTGGGGACCCCTCCCCAACGGCTTCCAGGAAGTCCCAAAGAGCCCAACAGGGCCTCAAGAGGCCCTCCCCTTCTTCCTCCTCCGCCCTTATCCTCCCTCTCCTCCTCCTCCTCCTTCTCCTCCTCCTCCTCCTCCTCCTCCTCCTCCTCCTCCTTTCTCGTCCTCTCCCTCGTGTTCCCTCAAAGGGTTCCACAACGGCCGGGGGAACGCATAGTCCAATAGCTTGGCCTCACTTCGGCCAAACGTTTGGCCGCATGGGCGTTTCCGAAAGGCATGGGGCAGCGGTGATTCGCCGTAGGCGTCTTCGATATTAGATAAGATCAGCCAAAATCCAAACGTCTCCACTCAGCTCTGCTTGTCTCAGCTTTGCTCCGCCCGGCTAAGCTGAGCACACTTCGTTAATCAACGAAACGCAACCTGTTGTATGGTTTTCGTCCTGAATCGTTTGTTCGTCCTGACCGGTTCTTCGTCCTGTATCGTTTTTTTACGGCCCCACAGGGGCCCAGCACAGGACAAGGTCGTCCAGGCTGCGCGGGGAAAGGCTCCAGGACGAAGACGAAGACAAGGGAGACGGGCGAGAAGGAGGGGGCAAGAGGGGAAGAGGGGATGAGCAGCGGAAGGGGGCAGGAGGGAGAGGGGGGCAAAAGAAAACAGTTCACCCCCATCCAGCGTTCGCGGCGCAGTCTGCGGCTCCGCCGTGGAAGGTACGAGCCTCACTCAGTCCTGGTGGGGAGGACCTGGAGCAGGCGGAGAAACACAGGGGAGAGGGAGGCACCGGCAGACGGAATTCCGCTCCCACGTCGTGGAACGGCTGGTGTCATGGATGGCGTTGTCTCGAGACCCCCCCCCGCCCGCAGCAGAGGGGGACCGTGGCGGGAAAAACAGCACACAGCCCCAAAAACGGGGCGACAGGAGGAGGGGCAGGACGAGAGTGGAAGCAGGGCGAAAGGGCAGGACGCAGGGGCTCGATCAGGTGATTGCTGATCTTGCCCGGCGGTCGTGCTTGCCGCAGGCATCCAGAAAATGCCCAAACCCCTGATGCCCGAAGACCCTGATACCGATCCCTGAAGTCCCTGAAGCATAAAGCCACACAGCCCTCAGACCCTAGGTCCCTGAAGGCCCAGACACTCGAACCTTCAAGGCCCGAAGCCTCCAAGATCCCAGCGCCTGAATGCCACGAGGCGTGCGTCGCACTGGACTTACTTCAGTTGGCGCAGTTGGATCTCACAGATAAGGCGAACATGAGACGCATCAGCCACGCCTGCGCCCGAAGCGGAAACGGCGCGCGCCCCATTCCATTCGGGCACGCTCTGCGCGGCGATTACCGTGCGGACGCAGGCGACGCCAAGATCACGATCTTCCCAGATCAGACCACCCCCTGTACTGCAGCAAGGTGTGGACGCGGCCTCCTCCCAGCCGTCCTTATCAAGGCACTCATCCGGATAGCGCCGGTCCTGCGCTCAGCCTCCTTCTGTCTGCGCTCTTGCACAGGTGCGATGGCGGGATTTGTCGCAGGCAGCTGCATGCATCTCCGCGTTTTCCTGTCGTGCGGCACTGCTGTGCGCGGAGCTCCAGGGCGGAGCCCAGCGACTGAAGCCTTGCCGATCCCGCGAACGCTGGCACAAACCGAACAGCCACATCCAGAGCAGCGCAGGCGTCACAGACAGCGCGGAGGGATGATCCTGCCGAAGGACCCAACCATGTGCAGCTGTGAGCACCGCAGTTGTGATGATCTCTTTCGGTGGAGCTCCCCAGGAGCATGCGAGCGCAGCCGCTGGGGCCTTCACTGGAGCTCCCCATGGGACCGCGAAGCGTGTGAGGGGTAAGCCGAAACAGGGGTGGAACCGCATGCGAACACAGCCAGTGGGGCCTTCGGTGGAAGCCTCCATCTGGGGCCACACGTGTGAGGGGTAAGCCGAAACAGGGGATGGAAACGCACGCAAACGCAGCCAATGGGGCCTTCGGTGGAGCTCCCCGCGGGGCCACGTAACGCGTGAGGTGCGCCGAGATGGGGGCGGCACCGCATGCGAAAGCAACCGCTGGGGCCTTCGGTGGAGCTCCCCATGGGGTCACGAAGCGTGTGAGGGGCGTGCCGAAATGAAGGAGGAACTGCGTGCGAACGCAGCCGCTGAGGCTGTCGGTGGAGCTCCCTATGGGGCCACGAAACGTGTGAGGGGTGTGCCGAAATTGGGGTGGAACTGTGCCGAAATTGGGGTGGAACCGCATGCGAACGCAGCCACTGGGACCTTCGGTGGAGCTCCTTATGGGGTGTGAGGGGTGTGCCGAAATGAGGGTGGAACCACATGCGAACGCAACCACTTGGGCCTTCGGTGGAGCTCGCTATTGGGCCATGAAACGTGTGAGAGTTGTGTCGCATGGTTGACATGCGTAGAGCAGGGGCAGGGATGGGAGGAGGCAGGAGGGGGAGGAGGAGGAGAGGAGAGGAGGGGCGCGGGGCGCTGTCTCTTCAAAACGACGACCCAACACCACCGGATGGCTGAGAAATCTACAACAACACAACAACACAACATGCTTACGCATCAAATGTGGTATCCAGCTGCGTGCTGGCGATATCATCCCCAACTCGGACATCTATCTGCGTCGCCCCGCTGCCGCCTATGGTCTCGGCGAGCATAGCGTTGGCGGTGCGCTGGTCAGTAGTGCGTAGCTGCGTTGGGGTGCCTTCCGGCTGCATGGGCGAACTCACAACTGCGGCTTGCACGGAACACAGCACTCCCTGCTGCCGTTCATTGTCCGCCGGCTGCTGCGGCTCGGGCGGGTTCGCCAGCATGCCCTGCAGCGTCGCCGTCTCCCCAGCTGGGATGGCCACTACATCATGCGCCTGCGACACCGCTTCCAACGGCTCGTCAATGACAGGAGTAGTCGCGCCGCCCAAAGCGAGCACGTGGCAGGATATAAGTGTCGGAGAGCTGCTGCTCCGCGAATGCCACCTAAACAAGATTTTGCACAGCACGAGGATCAGAGTTCAGCGGGCTCCGAATTCAATTGATCCGAGCTCAGCCTGTCCGAGAAAAGCCTCGTCCTAGATCCGCCCCTTGCGGCGCACACCATAGGAGGCTCGCGCCGCAGCCTGAACGGCCAAGTACGAAATCAGCAAAATCTGAGATGAACCCGGTCCGAATTCAGCGGGGTCCGAGTTCAGCCAGGTCCGAATTCAGCCGGGTCCGAGAACAACCGGGTCCGAGTTCAGCCGGGTCCGGATTCAGCCGGGTCCAAGTTCAGCTGGGTCCGAAATCAGCCGGGTCCGATTTCAGCGTACGTGTCCGAGAGCAACCGCGAACCTAGGTCCGAGTTCAGCCGGGTCCGAGTTCAGTCGGGTCCGAGTTCAGCCAGGTACGAGTTCAGCCAGGTCCGAGATCAGCCTGATCCGAGATCGTCCCATTCCATTGCGGTGCACTCGGCGGAAGCCTCACGTCGCAGCCGGAACGGCTGGGTCCGAGTTCAGCCAGGTCCGAGATCAGCCGGGTCCGAATTCAACCGGGTCCGAGTTCAGCCAGGTCCGAGTTCAGCCGGGTCCGAGATCAGCCGGGTCTGAGTTCAGCTGGGTCCGAGTTCAACGGGTCCGAGTTCAGCCGGGTCCGAGTTCAGCTGGGTCTGAGTTCAGCGGGTCTGAGTTCAGCCGGGTCCGAGATCAGCTCCTTCCCTAGGATGCCTTTGGAGCCATCCTGGGGCTCGCTTGGGGTCCTCTTGGGGCGTCTGGGCGCCCTCTTGAGCATCTCTGAGCCGTCTTGGGGCCGTATTGTGGCATCTTGAAGCCCCCTGGAGCCGTCTCGGAGCGCCCAGGGGACTCGCAGGGCGCCCCCGAGGGCCCGGGCGGCCTTTCAAGACAGAGGACCTTCTCGCATGCAAAGGTCCCTGCATTGTAAAAGAAATGACGTCGGGCTTCAGTTTTGCTTCCCACGTCGCGCAAAGCTGCGGCAAGGCCTGCTGCGACGGCTTGCACTTCTCGCACCTGCTGATCCCGTCGCGGTAATGACGATGACGCTGGGCTCTAACGTTCGCGCATCTGGCCGAGCAGCGCCGAACTACGCTGCTACTGCTCGACATCGTCATACGCACTGATCCCAGTGCTGTAACTGAGAACGTCGGGCTCAACCACGTCTCGCTGAGCAGCAACAGAACCTGCTTTCATTGACTGCCCTTCCCGCACGCGCTGATCCCAGCGCTGTACAGTAATTGGTGATGGCGTTCGGCTCAAACACTGCCTCCCGCATCCAGCTGAGCAGCGCCAGCGCCAGCTGCCACTGCTCGTCCTTCCTTGCCAACATCGCCTCCCACATCTCGCTCAACAGCGCCAGAGCCCGCAGCCACTGACCACCTTTCACTCACGCGCTTTTCCCCAGCGTTGTAGCTGACTAGTCTGTCGTATCGTCTCTCCGCAGCAGGGAGGCCGATCGCAGGGCTGCAGCAGGCTGCGTCGGGCTCCAGCTTCGCGTCTCACATCTCGCTCAGCAGTGCAAGCGCCCGCTGCCACTGCTCGCCCTTCTCGCACGCGCTGAGCCCAGCGATGTAGCTGACTAGAGCTGACCCGTGGACTTACGTCCACGACAGCTTGCCCGCGTGCAGAAGCTGAGATCACTTGCCTGCTTGCCTGCTGTTTGCGCGCGTAGCTGGTACGTAACCAGACAGTTGTCTTCCCGACGTCACTGCCAGCATGCTGGCAGGCCTGGCGGTCGCAACTGACCCTCTGCCGCACGCCACGGCAGCGGGGATGGGCGCCAGCCGGCCGCGGGCAATGCAGCGGCTGCTTTTTTCGGCTGCTAGCGAATTACTAATTGCTGCCGCTGCTGGCTTGTGTGCTGCCGGATATGGAGGTCGTGCTGGGGGGCCCTATGAACGAAACTATTGGGGGCCTCGTTGGGCCCTCTTGGGGCCGTCTCGGGGTTCTCTGGGGGTCTGTTGGGCCGTCGTGGCGCTCTCTGGAGGGCGTGTTGGGCTGTCTGAAAGCTCTCCGAAGCCTTCTGTAATATTATGGGAGCCCTCTGGGGCCGCCCTAGGGCTCTCTCGAGGCAGTCGGAGACCGCCCGCCCTAAGACGGCCCGAAGACGGACCGAGACGGCCCAAGGCCCCAGACACAACTCAGGAGGCTCGATGGGGGCCCCCAGAGGGCCCACGGTGGCCGAAGCCGTCTTGGAGGTGTCTCGCGTCGAGAAGCCCGCGAAGCAAAAGACATACATCTGCCTTTGGGTGTTGGAAAGCTTTGCAGTTGCCGTGGTCTTCTGGACAATTCCTGCAAGGCCTCTTGGGGCGTCTAGGGACCTTTTGGAGGCCTCTTGGAGCCGCTTGAAATCTCTCGGGGGCCCTGTCCGGCGGCTGTCGGGGCCAATTCTGGCCTTCTCGGACATTGCCGAAGGCTGTCTCTGCGACGTCTTGGGGACCCAGAGCCCACAGGGACCCGGAGGCAGTGCCGACGCCGCTGGAGGCCGAGAAAGCGATTGGCTGGGATGATGGTAGCTTCGGGCTCCAGTTTCAGAGTTTTTGATGTTGCGGCTCGCTCTCGGGAGCCTCGGGTTGAAGAGCTTGCTGTGTCACCGTTCGCTCTTGAGAGCCTTGAATTGAAAAGCGCTTTGGGGCCTCTTGGACCGTCTTGCAGCCACCTTCTGGGGTCTTTGGGGCGTCTTGGAGGCCTTGGACCGTCTTGGGGCTCTCTGGAGGACTTCCTGGGGCTCTCCTGGGAATCTCTTCGAGCACCCATTGACCCTTGGAGCCCTCTTGGGGCCGTCTTGGGGCCTTTTCATGCCGTTTAAGGGCCCCCTTGGGCTGTGTTTGGGCCCTCTTGGACCGTCTTGGGGCCCGCTTGGGGGGCGCTGGGGTCATCTTGGGGGGGTCGGGGGGGCCTTTTGGTTTCTCCTGGACCGCGTAACAACGAAAAAAGGCGGACATGCTGAAAATCTACGCGTTCCCGGAGGAATGTCAAGATGCTTGCCTCTTTGGCGTCCTCTCGAGGTCCTCTCGGAACGTCTTTGGGACCTCTTGGGCGGTCTTGCACCACCTTCGGAGGTCTTTGGAGCGTCGAGGCCCGTCTCGGCACCAACTGAGGCCGCCCTGGAGCGCTCTTGGACCGTGTTGCAACCCCTCTGGGGCGCCTCCTGCGCCGTCGCGGGCGATTCCACCCCGTGGTCGGGCCGCGGAGGGGTGATTTTGTGCACTCGAGTGCCCACCCTTCTGGCACGCGCTTCCGCCCGCCAAGTAAGAGAGACTAGGGCGTCTTCTGGCCGCGGAATCTGCCCGCCAGGGCGTGGACTCTGCACTGGGGCCGTTCGGGCGCCTGGTGCACGGGAGGATCACCGATAGGACGCTGGAATGACGGCCGATTTGGTTTACTTGGGCTGAGCTGTAGGGGCCGTCTACGGGTGTCTGGACACTCTTGGAACCTTCTGCGGGGCATGCTCGGGGCATCTCTGTGGCTCCTGTCGGTTTTTGGGCCACTTGAGGCGCCCTCATCGTCCTCCCGTGGATTCTTCATCCCGTCGGTCTTCGTTCGGAGCCGTCTCCGTGTCTCTGGACCCTCCTGAGGCCTCCTTCGGGTAATGCTCGGGACATTTCGGTGGCTTTTTCGGCTTAGGGGGCCATTCTGGGCGTCCTCCTCCTCCTCCTCCTCCTTTTCCTTTTCCTCCTCCTCCTCCTCCTCCTCCTCCTCCTCCTCCTCCTCCTCCTCCTCCTCCCCTCGATCCCTCATCCCGTCGATCTTCGACCGTCAGCCGTCGACGCTCCCCAAGAGACAAGCATCCAAGGCCTCATGGGGGCCTCTTTGCGTCTTCCTGGGGGTCTCTCGGGGTCCTCTTGGACCGTATTGAATGACTCTTGGGCCGTCTTGCGGCGATCTGGGGCTGCCCGCCTCTCGGGCCATCTTGGAGCCGTCTTGGGGCCATCTTGGGCCGTTCTTGGGCGCTCTTGCGGGTGTCTTGGGCGCCTCTTGGGCCGTCTCGGGCGCCTCTGGGTCCCGGGGCCGTCTCGGGCCGTTTTGGGGCCGTCCTTTGGGCGTCTGGGGGTGATCTTGGGGGCATGTACAACCGTCTTGTTGGAGACCGCACCGACGAAACAACTCAAATAGGAAGATGATACGGTTTCCAAAAGGCATGGGACGACTTCTGCCTCTTGGAGCTCTCCTGGGGTCCTTATGGACCGACTCTGGAGCCTCCTGGGCCATCCTGGGGTTCGCTTGGTGTACTCTTGGGGCGACGACAAGTTCTATGAAATTGCGCGGGGCGTCCGGCCGGAGCGGAGGCCTGGCCCGGATAATTTCTGAACAAACCGCCCCCAGGCTGCAAATGTTCGGCAATTGTCCCGTGCCACCCCGCTCCACCTTCACAGTGCATGACGCTGCTGCTCGGGATCCGCGCTGGCACGCTGACTTGGCGTGGTCGCCGTTGTGTTCGTGGTCGTCGGCTCAGTCGTGTCGTCGTCGCTGTCATCGTCGTCGTCGTCGTCGCCATCTCCGTTGTCGCCGGCGACTTCGCCCTCCTCCTGCTCCTCCTCCTCCTGCTCCTCCTCCTCCTCCTGCTCCTGCTCCTCTGGCGCCTGCGTCGACGTAGTGCATGGAGGAGCCGTCGTCGTGACCTTGAGGGTCGGCACGTGCAGGTGACGAAAACCACCGACTCTGGAACGGAGCGCGGAGCAGCGGTGGGCCTTGATGAACTTCTTGATTTGGTCTCCTGCCGGTGGCGCTTGTTCGACGCGTGCTTGCTTGCTGCTGGCGGTAAGCACTCTTTTCCGCCATTGCTAGCGCTTGGGAGCCTCGGCGTTCAGAGCTCAGGGTGCGCCACCGTTCGCTCTTGAAGTCGTCACGCTAGCGTTTGGGAGCCTCGGCGATCAGAGCTTCGGGTGCGTCGCAGTTCGCTCTTGAAGTTTTCACGTTCAGAGGGTCGTACGTCATCTAGACTCTGGTGGGGCGTGGGGCTCTCTTCGGGGTTTGGGCATCCTCCGCGTCCTCGTCCTCCTCTGTCCCTGGATCCTTCATCTGCTCGATCTCTGATCGCCAGTCGTGGATGCTATGACGATCCTCCCCAGAAGGCGAGCATCCAAGGCCCTCGGAGCGTACAAGGCGGCTCTTCTGGGCCTGCGATTTGCGTCTCGCCTCTCGTCCGCCTCCCCCTTACGGAGGCAAGTTCGAAATCACTTAGGGCGTCATGGGGACACGCTGTTTGAGGCCTGCGATATGGCTCTCGCCTGTCGTCCGCCGCCCTCTCTTGGAGGCAATTTTGAAGCCACTTGAAGCTTCTTATCGGTTTCCTGGGAGCTTCTTGGGGCCCTATTGGGCCGTTTTCCCTTTTGGGCCGTCTTGGGCCGTCTTAGGCTGTTTTGGGCGTCTATTGGGCCGTCTTGGGCAGTCTTGGGGCTGTCTTGGGCGACTCTGGCAGTCTTGGGTGCCTCGTGCGTCGTCTTGGGCGCCCCTTGGGCCGTCCTGGGGCCGTCTTGGATCGTCTTGGGGCCCTCACGGGGGCATCTCGGGGCGATCTTGGGGGCCGGTGTGGCCGTCGTGGACGCGTCAGAGACGAGAAGCTTAATAATGCCCTACATGTATGTTTTACGAAGAGGATGTGGCGATTTGTGCCTCTTGGGGCTCTCCTTGGCCGTCCTCCAAGGCCGTCTTGGGAGCCTCCTGGCCTGCCCTGGGGGCCTCTGGGACCGTCGGGGCGGCCTCTTGAGCGGGTCGGGGCCGTCTTGGGGCCGTCGGGGCGCCCTCTTGAGCGTCTGGGGCGCCGTCGCGAGCGGCTCGCGTCCGTCGGCCACTCCATCGGTGCAGAAACCCTTCTCGCACGCAGCGTTCCAGGCATTGTAAGAGAGATGACGTTGGGCTCCAGCCTCGCCTCCCTATCTCGCTCAGCAGCGGCAGCGCCAGCTGCCACTGCTCGCCCTTCTCACACGCGCTGATCCCAGCATCGTAGCTGACTCGGGCTAACCTGTGGACTACCGTGGGGGAGGGGGAGAGGGGGAGGGGGAGGGAGGGGGGAGAGGGAGAGCCGCCAGGCGCATTCAATTACGCTAGGCGCCACGTTGGATTCCCACTGCAACCGTTAGGCGCCACGTTGCAACTGGGCCGAAGCTCCAGGCTGGCTCCACTCGGTCAAGGAGGAGGACGTCTGTCACCGCCCTCACCGCTGTCGGCGCCGTCGTCGCTTGGTCTGCCGGCGTCGCTGCCGCGGTGGCCGCGGCGTCGGCCGAGAGCCTTGGAGCTGTTCCCGAGGTTGCCAGTGGTCTCGGGCTCCGCGTCCAGGGCCTCGATCTCAGCGGTCGTCCCGCCCCCGGGGGGCCCGTATCTATGGGCTGACCCGTGGACTACGTCCTCTTTCAGCAGGGAAGGGGGGGGGGTATTTCCGAAAAGCGCATCTCCAGTCCTGGAGCTTGGAGTATTTCCGAGAAGCTCCTGGAGCCGTGGAGACCTTGAGACAACAAAAATTAATGCCTGGGCAGTGTGTTAAATCTGTCCGCGGCAGGCTGGAGGCCTCAGCGATGGACCCCGTGAGCCGCGGACAAAATTTAACACGCCACCCTCGCGTTGAATTGTGTCCTCGAGCTCGGGGGGCGCGGGACCCTCACGGTAAGTCTCGTCCTCGGGCCCCGACCCAGCGTCAAATTTCGCCCTCGGGCGATCATGCCGCGCACTGTGCCGGCCTTGGTGGGCCTCCACGGGCCCGGGTCGGAGCCGTCGTAGGCGGCGTCGGGAGGCTCCTGGGGCGTCTTGGGGCTATCCTTGAGGGTCTGGGCCGTCTGGAGCCATTCCGGGGATCCGTGCGGACATCGTCGGCGGCCGGAGCCTGAACAAAAACTGGAAGGGTGAAATCTGTAAAAACGGAAAGGAGGTGCATGGTTTTGGCCTCTTCGGACTGTCGCTGGAGCTCTCGGATTCCGAAAATTCGGGCGACTCGGCGCGTCCGTTTGTGCCAGAGGACAAGATTCAACGCCCGGGCAGCGTGTTAAATCTTGTCCGCGCCAGGGCCGAGGCCTCAGCGCTCGGCCCTCAGGGGCGCGGACAAAATTTAACACGGCACGTTCGCACGAAATCTCGTCATCGGCCGAAGAGGGCGCGTTGAATTTCGTCCTCGAGCTCGCCGGAGGAGCCCGGGAGCGTTTACCCGGGCTTTGGTTGACAAGCCCTTTTCGCACGCACGTATGCCTGCAATGTAGGTAAGAAGACTAGTGTGAACCCGTGGAAAATCCACGGCTGGCAGGTGAAGGTGTCGGTCCCGAACGCGCATTTGTCGCCGACGCCTGCGGATTTGCTTCGGGACTGTCTTGGGGGCTATCGAGGGCTCTACGAGGAAGGTCCCCCCTGTCACCCCGAATCGGCCATCTTGGGCAGCGCTGGGGCTTTCTTGCGCGCGTCGTGGGCCGTGCTGGGAACCTCTGGGGCTGCACTCGGGGTCATAATGTGTATGTGGTGTGTGTGTGTGTGTGAGAGAGAGAGTGCGTTGTTGGGCTGTCTTGGGATCGCTCAGGGGCCTTCTTGGACCGCCTTGGCGCGCGCTCGGGGGCGTTCTGGGATGGGCGGGCGTGTTTTGGGAGTGCCTAGGGATCTTGTTGGGCCGGTGTTCTCTTGGAGACAGCCGGGGAGCCACACCAGTGTCGGGCCTGGGTTTGGGGTCAGAGGCTTTCTTGGAGACTACTGGAGATACACACACGGGGAGAGGTGCCGGGGCTGGAGGCTCTCTTGGGAGCTCTGTGGCCTTGGGCAGCGCTCGGGCCGTCTTGCGCGCGTCGGGGGCCGTGCTGGGAGCCTCTGGGGCTGTATTGATGGTCGTATCGTGTTTGTGGGGCGTGTGAGGGCATTGTTGGGCTGTCTTGGGATTGCTCAGGGGCCTTCTTGGACCGCCTTGGGGCGCGCTCGGGGGCGTCCTGGGATGGGCGGGCGTGTTTTGGGAGTGATTAGGGATCTTGATGGACCGTTGTTCTTGGAAGCAACCGGGGAGCACCGTTGTCGGGCCTGGGTTTCGGGTCAGGGGCTTTCTTGGAAGGTACCGGGGGGCCACACAGGTGCAGGGGCTGGAAGCTCTCTTGAGAGCTCTGCGGGAACCCGCGGATTTTTTGGGAGGCCCTGGGGCTTTCCTGGGGCCGTCTGGGGTTCGAGAAGCGACGAAAGGGTGCCGTGGATGGAGGCGCTCTCCTGGGGAGCTCCTGGACAACTATCGGAGTCTCTTGGGAGACTCTGGGGTATCTCGGAGTGGTCCTTGGAAAGTTCGTAGCCCATTGGGGGCTGCCGGGAGGCCGCGGCATAGACTACCTGCGGCCCCTCTTGGAGCTCTCCTGGGGGTCTCTCTGGAGCCTCGTGGGGCAGTCTTGGGTCATTTAGGGGCTCTCTTGGGCTGTCTCGGGGGCCCCGCGGGCCGTCCTGGGGCCATGGTCGGGGTCTCGGGCCGTCTTGAGCTTGCCTTGGGGCCTGTTCGGCAGCTCCAGGGGTCCTCTTGGGGCTGTCTTGGGGGCCACTGGAGGCTCTATGAGGGTATCGTGGGCCTCTCTGGGGCAATCGTGGGCCCTCTTGGGCCGTCTCGGGGCTCTTGGCGGGGCCTCCTGGACCGTCTTGGGGAGCGATCGGGGGCTTCCTGGGACGTCTCAGGCGTACGGGAAGCAAGACAAAGGAGAACACGGAAATCAGATAAGAACAATAGGAAATCGTCAATTTACTCTCGTCGAGGCCTGTCCGGGGGCCCTCTCGGAGCCTTGTCTGCCTGTCTTGTCTGCAGCGCCCAGCTGGGCGCTGCTGGGGCCGCCGGGAATGCAAGCTCGGGCCGCCCAAGGTGGCGTTTGGGCCGTGTTGGAGCTTTCTTGGGCCGTCTTGGGGCTCATCGGAGCGCTCAGGAGCAGCCCCGGACCGCCAGAGGCGCGGCCGAGGGCCGTGAGCGCGGTGGGGGGCCACGCACGTTTGGCCACTTTCGCATGCGCGTTGCCCAGCATTGTAGTACAGACTAGGGCTGACCAGTGGACTCCGTCCACGACATCTTTCTGAAATGGTTCTCGGAGGAACGGCGAAGATTTTGCCGAAAACCTATAAGCACGGCGGCGGCCAGGGCGGCGGCAGCGAAACCGCGCCTTCGTCTCCGAGCTCAAGAAGCGCTCCAGCAGTTTGGCCGTCGCGGGGCCGCCGTCGTCGCCGTCATCGTCGGCGTCGTCGTCGTCGCCGCCGCGAGGCCCCCGTCGTACCCGTCGTGGTCGACGTCGTTGTCCTGGTAGTGGTGGTGGCCGTTGTCGTGGGTTGTGGGCACCGGAAGGAGGCTGGCGACGTCGGTGGTACTGGCCCGTGGACTCCGCCCACGAAATCTGCACGAACTGGCATCCGATTGTGGGGCCCGACCTCACATTCCGCGCATGCTGATGCGTGCTGCTGCGTACTGCCGCTTTTGCGCACTCTTGGTAGTGCTCGAGGCCGCTGCTGCGTGTTCTTGCTGCTTGTGACTGCAGGTTATTGCTGATGGCCAGTTTCGCTTGGTGCATGTCTCTGCCTGTTGCCTGCCGCTGCTTGCTGCTGCTGTGTGCCGCCGCTGCTGCCTTTTTCGTGCCCACGGGAGAGATCGATGCTGCCCAAGGGCACTCGAAATGTCGCACGGTGGACTGTGCATGGGGGCTCACTGTGGACGCGCAGGGAGGCAACTCCTTTTGGGCGCCGTCTCCGCGCATCTCTGGGATCAGACTGTGTTGGGGACGGCGCTCCCGGAGGCCTCTGGTGTATCTCGCCTCACTTGGGCGGCAGCGGCGAAGGGCACCATGGAGCTGGGAGGCAATAGCAAAGGGAAGTAGCGCCCATGCTGCTGTGCATTATTCGGCGCTCTTTCACTGGGAACCGTTTGGGGGCCTCTCGGGGTTTCTTTTCGGCCTCCTGGTGGCCTTGTGAGACCCCCTTGGACTGTCTTGCGGCGTCCTGGGGGCCTCTTTTGGCCCTCTTGAGCCGTCTTGGGTGCCCCTTGGGCCGTCTTGGGGCCGTCTGCGGCCGTCTTGGACGCCTCGGGGGCCGGCTTGGGGCCATCTTGGGGCCATCTTGGGCCGTCTTTGGTCGCTGTTGGGGCTGCCTTGGGTGACTCTTGGGCCGTCGTGGGCGCCTCAGGAGAGGTACTGGGGCAGTCTTGGGCGGTCCTGGGGCCGTCTTGGGCTGTCTTGGGGCCCTCATGGGGTGCTCCTGAGGCGTCCTGGGGCGATCCTGGGGGCGTGAATTGTCTTCTTGGACGCTTTGAAAACGGAAGGCACGGGAGTTGCGAACATGTGCGTTTTCCTGTGGTTTGGGGATGGTTTTTGTCTGTGCGAGCTCTCTCGGGCGTCTTCTGGGAGCCCACTTGGAGCGTTTTGGGGGCCTCTTGGGCCGTCTGGAGGCTATCTTGGGCGTCGTCGAGCGCTCGTGGACTGTCTCGGAGGCCCTCTTGGACGGTCTCGGGGCCGTCCGGGGCCCTCGAGCCTCCATGGGGAGGCCATACGAGGCCGTCGTGGAGCGCCTCGACGCCGCCCGGGAGCGCGCGGGGCACCGCCGGAGGGCTCTACTGTCGGGAGCGGCGAAGAGGGGGGTGTCCAAGAGGGGGGGGAGCAAATCATGGCCGGCGGCACGTGCGCGGCCCAGCGGGGGGCCCAGGGACGTGACGAAATGAGAAGAGGCGCCATGAGATCTGGGGAGATATCATGGCCGCCGCCATGATATCCCCCCCTAGTCATCACCTCTTTGCCGCCCCCGATACTGATGTTTGGCAGTTTTCCGTCTGGCACGCGCTTCTGCTGGCCATGTGGGAGAGATGACGTCGGACTCCAGCTTTACTTCCCGCATCTCGCTCAGCAGCGCCAACGCCCGCTGCCACTGCTCGCCCTTCTCGCACGCGCTGATCCCAGCGCTGTAGCTGATGACGTTGGGCTCCAGCTTCGCCTCCCATATCTCGCTCAGCAGCACAAGCGCCCGCTGCCACTGCTCGCCCTTCTCGCACGCGCTGATCGCAGCGCTGTAGCTGATGGCGTCGGGCTCCAGCTTCGCCTCCCACATCTCGCTCAGTAGCGCCAGCGCCCGCTGCCACTGCTCGCCCTTCTCGCACGCGCTGATCTCAGCATTGTAGCTGACTAGGGCTGACCCGCGGCCTCCGGCCACGACCAGCGCAAAGGCCTCAGAGGTTACGGGGTATTTTTCGTGGGCGTCGTTGATCCACGAACGATCCGGGCGAGACGTCTGTGCCCCATCTGGAGCCTGGGGGAAGACTTCGAAGTAGGTATTGGCATTCCGTGGACGTGGCGAGTCGACAAACGTCCTGGGCGAGGGTTGATTGCTCCGCCCCAGGCCCCAGCACGTCGGAAAATAAACCTCGAAGTCGGGGTTTATTTTCCGTGGGTGTGGCCGCGCCCCGGGGCTTCTGTTCCGCCTTGTAAGAATCGCTTGGGGCCCTGTTGGGCCGTCTGGCGGCCTCCTGGGAGCCTCTTGGGTCCCTCTTGGGCCGTCTTGGGTGCCCCTTGGGCCGTCTTGGGGCCGTCTGAAACCGTCTTGGGCGGCTCTGGGGCTGTCCTCGGACCGCCTTGGGGCTGTATTGGGCCGTCTTTGGCCCCTCTTGGGCGGGGCCATGCAATGTAGCAGAGCGTCTGGGAGCCTCCTAGGGCCCTTTTGGGCTGTCTTGGGGCCGTCTTGGGCTGTCTTTGGCTGCTCTTGGGGCTGGCTTCGCTGCCTCTTGGGCCGTCATCTTGGGGGCTCTTTGGAACCGTTTGGGGCCCTCTCGGCACTTCTTCTCGGCCTCCTGGGGGCCTCATGGGGGCCTCCTGGGGCCCTCTTGGGCTGTCTTGGGTGTCTCTTGGGCCGTCTTGGGGCCGTCTGGGGCCCTCTTGGGCGCATCTGGGGCCGCTCTGGGGCCGTGTGGGGCCGTCTTGGGACCTTCTCAGGGCCGTTGGGTCGTCTTGGGACAGTCTCGGCGCTGTCATGGCTGCCTCTTGGGCTGCCATGGGCGCTGTAGGGCCGTCTCAGAGGCGCATCGGGGCGATCTTGAAGGTCTGTGTGGCCGTGTTGAACGCGCTGCGGACGCAAAGCGCGGGAATTGCAAACATGTACGTTTCCTCTCGGGGTTAAGATAATTTGTGCTTGTTCGGGCTCTCTTGGGGCTCGTGTTGGAGCCCACTTGGAGCGTCTTTGGAGGCCTCTTGGGCCGTCGGGAGGCTATCTTGGGCGTCTTGGAGCTCTCTTGGGCCTTCTTGGGCCGCCTTGGGGCCCTCGTGGGGGCCTCCGGGGGTGTCTCGGAGCGCTCTTGGGCCATCTTGGAGCGTCTCGCAGCGCGCCGGGGCCTGCTGGGGCTCGCAGGGGCCGCCAGGGCGCCTGCTGTGCCATTTTGGTCCGAATAGCCTTTTTCGCACGCGCGAGGCCCTGCATTGTGGTATAGATGACGTCGGGCTCCAGCTTCGCCTCCCGCATTTCGCTCAGCAGCGCCAGCGCCCGCTGCCACTGCTCGCCTTTCTCGCACGCGCTGATCCCAGTGTTGTAGCTGACTAGGGCAGACCTGTGGACTCCGTCCACGACATCAGCTCGACGTAGCGAGGGGTCTCTGGGCAAGCGCGGGGGGGTGCGGCTGCAGGGCCGAAAGGCAATCATGATGCCTGTCGCCTCTCGTCCGCTCCCCCGCTCCTGGAGGGAATTCTGAAGCCACTGAAGGCTTCGTGGAGCCGTTTCGGAGCCTCTTCGGCCTTCTTTTGGGCCTCCTGGGGGGGCTCTTGGGGCCCTCTCGAACCGTCTTGGGTGCCTCTTGGGCCGTCTTGGGGCCGTCTGAGGCCCGCCTGGGCGCCTCTTGGGCTGTCTTGGGCCGTCTTGGGCCGCTCTTGGGGCCGTCTTGGGTGCCTCTTGGGCCGTCTTGGGCGCCTCCTGGGCCGTCCTGGGGCCGTCCTGGGGCGTCTTGGGACCGTCTTGGGGCCCTCCTGGCCCGCCTTGGGGCTCTCTTGGGGTCCTCTGCGGCCGTCTTGGAGCGGTCGGGGGGACTTCTGGGGCCGTCTTGGAGCGTCGGGAAGCCGAAGAGGCGAGGAGGCCGAAAACATCGAAAAACACAATAGAAATCGACGATTTCTGTCGCTCGGGGCCCTCTTGGGAGGCCTCTTCGGGCGTCTTGGACGCCTCTTGGGCCGTCTGGGGCGAACCTCGGGCGTCTTGGGCCCACCTTTAAGCGTGCCGGGGCTCTCCCGGGCCGTCTTGGGGGCTTCTGGGGGCCCTCTCGACATGTCCTGGAGCCTGCCTGGGCGGCCCGGGGCGGCCCGGGGCCAGCCCGGGGCGGTTTCGGTGCATTGGGGCCTGCGCCATTCTGGCACGCACTGGGCCCTGCAATGTAGTAGAGATGACAAGGGTTGACCCGTGGACTACGTCCACTTCCGGGGTGAAGGCGGGCAGGATGAATGGCGTCATGTTTGCCTGCCACATATCAATGAACTGCGGGGGCGCTAGGTAGCGCTGCTCGCCCGTCTGGGAGCCCCCAACGAGCCCCCAACGACACCGACGACGGCGGACAAAATCGTCCACGCAGCCAGGCCCCCCAGGGCTCCAAGACGGCCCGATGCGGCCAATTCTGGATCTTAGATGGCACCGGAGGGCTCAATGACGGGCCTGGATGGTCTTCAGATTGCTCCAGGACAGGCCCAGATGGCCCCAAGATGGCCCCAAGACAGCCCCGGTGGCCTCCAAGAGCTTTGGTTGACGCATGTGGCGCCGCTGCGTGAACAAAATCGTCCAGGCAGCTAGGCCCCCCAGGGCTGCAAGACGGCCCGATGCGGCCAATTGTAGATCCAAGATGGCCCTGGAGGCTCCAACGCCCAAATGGCCCGAAAATGGCTCCAAGACGGGCCCAGGTGGCCCCAAGGCCGCCCCAAGATGGCCTCGACCGGCCCCTCGCCCGCCCCCATTCCCTGCTGCCTCCTCCGCCTGCCCTCACCGTGGCCGTGGCCGTGGCCTTGGTGTCTACGCCGATAGCGTGTCTACGGAACAATTGCCAGCCAGGTATGCCGCAAGCCGTCCTGCAGAACCTCGTGCGCTAGAGGCCGAGTGCATGCTGAGCCGCCCCGTGCGCAGGACGGCGCGCCAGGCACTGAGCGCTTTCCAACACCGACGACGTCCCTGGTGACGCACGATGTGCACCTCCTCCTCTTGGGTCTTGACCACGTATATCGACCACCCCCCGGGCTGGACGAAGGGGGAGGGGTCAGCACTCGGTTCACGCCTCCGGTTTCCTCGGCGCCTCCCAGCTGGAGGCGCCAATGCATGGAGGAAGCCGCCATTCGACAGGGCCCGTAACTCTCTGCGCATCTCGCGCATCGCGCCTCGCGCCTCGCGCACCCGCTGGTCTGCTCGCCCTCGCGCCGCCCCCTGAGAAAGGCCAGCTCGGCGGGCCTGGCGGCGGCGCGCGAGACGCACGCGGGTCGGGGGGCCGCGGAGGGACCAGACCCGAGCGCGTAAGACGCCGCCGTCGCATCGCGTTCGGTGATCGGGGGATCCCATCGGGCCCGCACCAAAGGTCACTCCGGCGAAGGGTCACCCTTACGTGTAGTCGATTGGTGCCCCTGGTGCCCGAAGCGGGCCGCTGGAGGCCGTCGAGCCAGGAAAAGCGCCCCCAGCATCAGCGAAAACCACGACGACCCCACAGGGCCAAAAGCGCAACAATCGACTCCATCCCCGACCCTCGCCCGCCGTCGGTGCCGTCATAGGGCCGCAGGCAGAATCGTCCAAAACCGCACCAGAGACCTCCAACAACCTCGACCCCCTCGCCGCCGCTGCCGTCGTCGTCCTCCAGCGCTGCGTCGCTACAGCGAGGGACAACGACTGGAGGGGAGAACGGGCTCAGGCGGGAGGGAGCATCGACCTGGAATTAAGTCGGGCCTGTCCCCCTACAGGGGGATTTTGGACGAAAAATAAAAAAATCTCAAACATGCTCAAAAGATGCCCCAAAATGCTCAAAACATAATCCCCTGATTTTTGCTTCAACTATTTTTGAATATTCCCCCTATAGAGGGACAGGCCCGACTTAAACCTGCAATCGGCAATGCATCGCCAGCAGGTCGTCGTCATCCCAACCGTTTTTGTTTCGGTCATCAGAAATCTTACGGCGGAAAAAACTCTTGGAAGAAGGTACGCCCCAAACTCCTTCGAAGAAGGGAGATTTTTCCTGGCCAGGCGGGGAAAAAACACTGGAAGAAAGGTACGCCATGGCCGTACCCCCATGTCGCAAGACCTTCGCCTCCCAGCCGTAGGGCCGACGACGTTGGGCGACTCTCGGGCTGCCTTGGGGCCGTCTTGGGCCGTATTGGTCCGCCTTTGGAGCCCTCTTGGGCTTGTCATGGGCTGTCTTGGGGGCCTGTTCGGCCGTCCTGGGTCGCTCTGGAGCGGCCTTGCAGCCATGGAGGAGCCCTGTGTTCCGCTTGGGGCTGTGAATGGGCGAGGGGTCTATGGCAAGCGGGAAGACCCGCGACGGTACGGAAACAGAAAGACTGCTTCAGGAACTTGCCCGAGATGGCTGCTGGCCCTCTTCGCACTTGGGAGCCTTGGTGAAAAGGGCTGGTTACGTCACCGCTCGTTATTGGAAGCTGTGGCTTTCAGAGTTTTTGACGTCGGGTTGAAGAGCTTGTTGCGTCACCGTTCTCTCTTGGGGGCCTTGGATTGAAGAGCCTTTTATTGGGCGTCCGTGCGCCTTCTCAATGGTCCTTGTGGGGGACTTTGTGGGGCCCTTCATGGGCTCCCTTGGGGACGTCTTGGGGCCCGTTTGGACCGTCACGGGGCGTGTTGGAGGCATTGGACCGTCTTGGGGCTCTCTGGAAAGTTTCCTGGGGCCCTCTTGGGAGCCTGCCCTTTGGAACCCTCTTGGAGCCGTCTTGGGGCCCTGTCAGGCCGTGTGAGAGCCCCCTTGGGCCGTCTTTAGGCCCTCTTGGACCGTCTTGGGGCCCTCTTGGGGGCCGCTTGGGTCGTCTTGGGGTGTCTTGGGGGGCCTCTTGGCCTGTCCTGGATCGTGTAACAGCACAAAAGGCGGATATGCTGAACATGTACCTTTTCCCATAGGAATGTAGCGTTTGTTGCCTCTTTGGCGTCCTGTCGGGGCCTTGTCGGAGCGTCTGTGGGGCCTCTTGGACCGTCTTGGAACCGCCTTCTGAGGTCTTTGGGGCCTCGAGACCCGTCTCGGGAACAACTGAGGCCGTCTTGGAGCGCTCTTGGACCGTCGTGCAACCCCTCTGGGGCGCTTCTTGGGCCCTCGTGGGCGATTCGACCACGCAGTGGGGCCGTAAAGGGGCCATTTTAGAAGAGACTAGGGTGGATCTGTGGACTCCGTCCACGTCAGCATATGGTAGCAGGGGAGGGGCGGATGTAGGGTTGAAAGGCAATCATGATGACGTCGAGCTTCAGTTTCGCGTTCCACACCTCGCGGTGCAGCGCCAGCTCCCGCTTGTCGCAACTGGGCTGTGTGGACTGCTTCTTGGGCTATCATGAGCGCCGCAGGAGCCGTCTGGGGGCCGTCTGGCGAGCCTCATGGAGGCATCCTGAGACGCCTTCGGGCGTTTTTGGGGGCCTGTATTGTCTCGTCGTGGACGCATTGACAACGAAAAGCACGAGAATTGCGAAAATGCACGTTTTCCGATAGGTTTTGGAAGTGTTTTGCTTGTGCAGTCTCTCTCGGGCGTCTTCTGGGAGCCCACTTGGAGCGCTTTGGGGGCCTCGTGGGTGCATCTTGGGGCCGTCTGGGGCCGTCTTGGGCGCCTCTGGGGCCGTCTTGGGACCGTCTGGAGGCCCTCTTGGTCCATCTGTGGCCGCTCTTGGGGCTGTCTTGACTGCTTCTTGGGCTGTAATGGGCGCCACAGGAGCCGTCCTGGGGCCGTCGGGGGCCGTCGGGGGAGCCTCACGGGGGCCTCCTGAGACATCTTGTGCCGATCTTTGGGGCCCGTGTGGTCGTCGTGGACGCTTTGAAAACGAAAAGCACTGGAGTTGCGAACATGTACGTTCACCGGAGGTTTTGCGCCGATTTTGGCTTGTGCGAGCTCTCTCGGTGTGTTCTGGGGGCCCACTTGAATCGTTTTGGAGGCCTCGTGGGTGCATCGTGGGACCGTCTGGGTCTGTCTTGGGCGCCTGTGGGGCCGTCTGGGGACCATCTGGAGGCCCTCTTGGGCCATCTGTGGCCGTTCTTGGGGTTATCTTGACTGCCTCTTGGGCTGTAGTGGGCGCCAGAGGAACCGTCCTGGGGCCGTCGGGGGCCGCGTCTTGGGAGCCTCATGGGGGCCTCCTGAAACGTCTTGGGTCGATCTTTGGGGCCCTGATGATTTTTGCTTGTGCGGGCTCTCTCGGGCGTCTGGGAGCCCACTTGGGTGCATCTTGGGGCCGTCTTGGGGCGCCTGTGGGTCCATCTGGGGACCGTCTGGAGGCCCTCTTGGGCCATCTGTGGCCGCTCTTGGGGCTGTCTTGATTGCTTTTTGGGGTGCAGTGGGCGCCACAGGAGCCGTCCTGGGGCCGTCGGGGGCCGTCGGGGGAGCCTCACGGGGGCCTCCTGAGACATCTTGTGCCGATCTTTGGGGCCCGTGTGGTCGTCGTGGACGCTTTGAAAACGAAAAGCACTGGAGTTGCGAACATGTACGTTCACCGGAGGTTTTGCGCCGATTTTGGCTTGTGCGAGCTCTCTCGGTGTGTTCTGGGGGCCCACTTGAATCGTTTTGGAGGCCTCGTGGGTGCATCGTGGGACCGTCTGGGTCTGTCTTGGGCGCCTGTGGGGCCGTCTGGGGACCATCTGGAGGCCCTCTTGGGCCATCTGTGGCCGTTCTTGGGGTTATCTTGACTGCCTCTTGGGCTGTAGTGGGCGCCAGAGGAACCGTCCTGGGGCCGTCGGGGGCCGCGTCTTGGGAGCCTCATGGGGGCCTCCTGAAACGTCTTGGGTCGATCTTTGGGGCCCTGATGATTTTTGCTTGTGCGGGCTCTCTCGGGCGTCTGGGAGCCCACTTGGGTGCATCTTGGGGCCGTCTTGGGGCGCCTGTGGGTCCATCTGGGGACCGTCTGGAGGCCCTCTTGGGCCATCTGTGGCCGCTCTTGGGGCTGTCTTGATTGCTTTTTGGGGTGCAGTGGGCGCCACAGGAGCCGTCCTGGGGCCGTCGGGGGCCGTCTTGGGGCCTCCTGAAACATCTTGGGCCGATCTTGGGGGCCCGTATTGCCGTCGTGGACGCTTTGAAAACGAAAATCACGGGAGTTGCGAAACTGCACTTTTTACTCAGGTTTTGGCCCGATGTTTGCTCGTGCGAGCTCTCTCGGGCGTCTTCTGGGAGCCCACTTGGAGCGTGTCGGGGCCTCTTGGGCCATCTGGCGGTTATCTGGAGCGTCTTCGAGCGCTCGTGGACCGTCTCGCAGGCCCTCTTGGACCGTCTCGGGGCCGTCTGGGGCCCTCGAGCCTCCGTGGGGAGGCCCTCCGAGGCCGTCGTGGAGCGCCTCGGGGCCGCCCAAGAGCGCGCGGGGCTCCGCTGGAGGGCTCTACCAACATTTGGCCTTTTTTCCTTCCGGCACGCGCTTGCTCCCGCCATGTTGGAGAGACTAGGGCTGATCCGTGGACTACGTCCACTCGCGGGGGGGGGCCTTCTGCGCCGAGATGCTTCTAGAGCCGTGGGGAGCTCGAGGGCACAATTTTTGCAGGCCTGGGCAGTTTGTTAAATCTGTCCGCGGCAGGCCGGAGGCCTCGGCGATGGACCCCAGAGCCGCGGACAAAATTGAACACGTCACCATCGCGTTGAATTGTGTCCTCAAGCTTGGGGGGCGCGGGACCTCACGTTAAGTCTCGTCCTCGGGCCCAGACCCCGCATCGAATTTCGCACTCGAGCGGTCAATGCCGCGCACTGTGGCGGCCTTGTTGGGCCTCCGTGGGCTCGGGTCGGAGCCGTCGTAGGCGGCGTCGGGAGGCTCCCAGGGGTCTTGGGGCTATCCTTGAGAGTGTCTGGGGCCGTCTGGAGCCGTTCTGGGCTCCCTGCGGGCATCGTCGGCGGCCAGAGCCTGACAAAAAACTGGAAGGGTAAAACCTGGCAGAAACTGAAGGAAATGCATGGTGTTGGTCTCTTCGGGGAGTCGCTGGAGCGCTCGGATTTTGAGAATCGGGCGACTCGGCGCATCCGTTTGTGCCGGAGGACAAGATTCAACGCCTGGGCAGCGTGTTAAATCTTGTCCGCGCCAGGGCCAGGGCCTCAGCGATCGGCCCCGTTGGGCGCGGACAAAATTTAGCACGGCATGTTCGCGGGAAATCTCGTCCTCGGGCGAAAAGGGCGCGTTGAGTTGTGTCTTCGAGCTCGCCGGAGGCGCCCAGGGGCGTTTTTCCGGGTTTTGATCGACAGGCCCTTCTCGCACGCACGTATGCCTGCAATGTAGGAAAGATGACGTTGGGCTCCAGCTTCGCCTCCCGCATCTCGCTCAGCAGCGCCAGCGCACGCTGCCACTGCTCGCCCTTCTCGCACGCGCTGATCCCAGCGCTGTAGCTGACTAGGGCAGACCTGTGGACTCCGTCCACGACATCAGCTCGACGTGGCAAGGGGTCTCTGGGCAAGCGCGGCGTGCCTGTCGCCTCTCGTCCGCTCCCCCGTTCCTGGAGGGAATTCTGAAGCCACTGAAGGCTTCGTGGGGGCCGTTTCGGAGCCTCTTCGGCCTTCTTTTGGGCCTTTCGGGGGGGCTCTTAGGGCCCTCTCGGGCCGTCTTGGGTGCCTCTTGGGCCGTCTTGGGGCCGTCTGAGGCCCGCCTCGGCGCCTCTTGGGCTGCCTTGGGCCGTCTTGGGCCGCTCCTGGGGCCGTCTTGGGTGCCTATTGGGCCGTCTTGGGCGCCTCCTGGGCCGTCCTGGGGCCGTCCTGGGGCGTCTTGGGACCGTCTTGGGGCCCTCCTGGCCCGTCTTGGGGCTCTCTTGGGGTCCTCTTCGGCCGTCTTGGAGCGGTCGGGGGGACTTCTTGGGCCGTCTTGGAGCGTCGGGAAGCCGAAGAGGCGAGGAGGCCGAAAACCATCGAAAAACACAATAGAAATCTACGATTTCTGTCGCTCGGGGCCCTCTTGGGAGGCCTCTTGGGAGGCCTCTTCGGGCGTCTTGGACGCCTCTTGGGCCGTCTGGGGCGAATCTCGGGCGTCTTGGGCCCATCTTTAAGCGTGCCGGGGCTCTCCGGGGCCGTCTTGGGGGCTTCTGGGGGCCCTCTCGACATGTCCTGGAGCCTGCCTGGGCGGCCCGGGGCGGCCCGGGGCCAGCCCGGGGCGGTTTTGGGTGCATTGGGGCCTGCGCCATTCTGGCACGCACTGGGCCCTGCAATGTAGTAGAGACTAGTGTGAACCCGTGGAAAATCCACGGCCCGCAGGTCCAGGCGTTGGTCCCGAACGCGCACGTGTCGGAAGCGCTGGAAGCGTCCAAAGTCATGTGTTTTTGCTAATCGCGCGAGGCCTGGGCGCGATTAGCAGAAACACGTAGGTTTTCAGACACAATCAGAGTAAGGGGGCCCGAACGATCTTACAGAATCCCTGTGCGCGAGAAGTTCGATGTGGGGGGTGGACGCGTGGGGGCCAGAGTTGGGCGTTACGTTGGGGGGCCTCGTTTGAGGGCCACGTTGGGGGGTCTCGTCAGGGGGTCATGATTGGGGGCAACGTTCGCGGCCCTGCCGGGCGCCATGTTTGGGGGCCGCGTGCGGCACATGTGACGGTCGCGTTTGAGGGTGCGGGGTTCGGGGGCAGATGTGACGGTCACGTTTGGGGGCAATGGTTGGGGGCTGTGTGTGTTGGGGCCACGTTTGGGGGCGCCTGGGGGCTACGCGTGGGGTTGACGTTCGGGGGCCACGCTTACTGGGGCGGTAAGGGCGACCTTCGGAGGCTTTGTATGGGGGCCGCCTTTGGGGGTCCCGTTTGGAGACCGCGTGGGGCCGACGTGTAAGGGGCCACGTCCAGGGGCGATCTCAGAAAGCAGTCGGGGAGCCCCGGAGGCATTGACCTGGAAGCGTGAAAAGGAATGGGTTTTTGCTAATCGCGCTGGGACTGTGCGCGATCACCCCAAACTCAAGGCATGGTCCACGGGGCCCTCGAGGCACGTCTCTGGGGCATTTCGAGGCTGTCGTGGGGCTCTGGCAGGATCGGCTTCGGCTCTCTTGGACGTCTTTGGGGCCGTCTTGGAGCGATGTGGGGGTCCGGGAGCCGTCGGGGAGCGCTCCAGGGGCGTCCTGGGGGCGTCGGGGAGCGGCTCAGAGCTCTGGCAGGTCGAAGCCAGCAGAACCGAGAGAGCAGCGGCGCGGCGCCCGATACAGCCAAGGGTGCGAGTGCTGGGATACGTAGGGCTCCGAACCTGCTGTGGTCGTGGCCTGCGGGCAATGTCGCTGCGGGCCTGGGTAATGGGTAAGAGATCTCGTGGATGTTGGTTAGGATCTCGTGGCTGGTCTCTCGGGAGCCTCTGGGAGACAGTTTGGGGGCTTCTTGGTAGCAGTTTGGGGGCGTCCTGGGGCCTCTTGGGCCCTCTTTTGGGGCCTCTTGGGAGCCTTTTGGGGCGCTTGGCGGCCTCTGGGGGGCCTCTTGGAGCCTCTGTGGGGCGTCCTGGGGCCTCCTGGGGATGTCTTGGGAGCGTCCCGGCGTTTCTCTGGGGCTTCCTGGGGGCCTCTTGGGGTGGAGGCCTAACTTTTTCGGTTCCGGGTCCCTGTCTTGGGCCTCTCTTGGGGCCTTCTTGGGGCCCTCTTGGGCTGTCTTGGGCGACTCCTGGGCCGTCTTGGGGCCCTCTTGGGCCGTCTTGGGGCCGTCTTGAAGGCCTCTTGGGCCGTCTCGGAACGGTCTGGGGGGCCTCTTGGGCGGTCTTAGAGCGTCGGAAAGCCGAAAGCGCGAGAAGGCCAGAAACATCTGAAAAAACAAAGAAAATCAACGACTTTGGCTTCTGCGGCCCCTCTTGGAGGTACACTTCGAGCGCTCTGGGGGCCTCGTGGAGGCGTCCCGGGCCGTCTTGAAGGCGTCTTGAAGCCATTTTGAGCGTATCGGATCCACTCTTGGACCGTCTTGGGCCGTCTTCGGGACCTCCTGAGGCCGTCTTGGGGCGATCTGGGAATCCTGGATCAGTCCGCCAGCGTTCCGGGGGCCTCAAGGGCCCGTCGGGCAGCGGCCCGGAGGCTCTCCGGGCGGCCCGCGAGCTCTCTGGGCGGCCCGGGGCGCTGCCACTGCCTGACCTTCTCGCGCGCGCTTCGCCCGGAATTGTAGTACAGACTAGGGCTGACCCGTGGACTACCGTCCACGAATGCCAAAGGATTGAGCGTGCGCTCGTTGCTGCTTATTGCTTCAGGGTGCGCTGTTTGCTTGATGATCCTGACGGTGTCTGGAGCAGCGCTAGCAGCAGCAGCAGCACCAGCAGCAGCAGCAGCAGCAGCAGCAGCAGCAGCAGCAGCAGCAGCAGCAGCAGCAGCAGCAGCAGATACAGCACCATCGGAAGTAGCAGCAGCAACAGCTGCAGCAGCAGCTCCAGCAACAACAGAAGCAACGCGGACCTCCGGAGGCCTCCCGGGGGCCTTCTCGTCCTCGTCCTCCTCGTCCTCGTCCTCGTCCTCGTCGTAGTCGTCGTCGTCGTCGTCGTCGTCGTCGTCGTCGTCGTCGTCGTCGTCGTCGTCGTCGTCGTGGTCGTCGTCGTCGTCGTCGTCGTCGTGGTCGTCGTCGTCGTCGTGGTCGTCGTCGTCGTCGGCGTCGTCGTCGCTGTCGTCTTCGACGTCGTCGTCGTCGTCGTCGTCGTTGTTGTCGCCGCAAGGAGTGCTTCAGACCGCGCCCTTGCAGGGCATGCGTCTGGCGACATGTACGTACGCCCATGCACTCGCACCGCGCAGCCTGAGCCAAGAGTGCCGGCATCTGACGTGTGCTCTTGTGTTCCCGTAGCTCTGATGCGCGCGGAATTTCCACCGCTCCCTCGCAACCTTAAAACATCAGTACGCCGTGCGAGACCTGTTCAGTCCCCAGCACGCGCTCCAAAGGCCCCCTGAAGGCGCCATGCCCCAGCCGGGCATACATACACGCCGCGCAGCAGTCTCCCCACCACGTCCATCGGCTCTCACCCCACGGAGGCATCTGGGCACACTGGCGCCACTTCTCCCAAAAACGCCCCTCCAGGACCTCTCAGGCATGATCGCCCCTTCCCCCCTCCGCCTCCACCCCAAGAGCGTGGCCCCTTCGCGGGTTCCTCAGGACACGTCGGCCCATCCACCCTTGCGCGGCCAGCGTGCCCTGTGCCTTAAGCTCCGGAGCATCGCCCCTGATTGGAAAAAAAACCACACCCCACACCTCTTGGGACACGCATCGCCTGGGAGGGGATGCAAAAAAGCCCTGCTTGGACCACCCGCAGACGTCCCAGGCCCCCTTTCCGTGGACCCCTCCCGCACGGAGCGTGTCCCAAGAGGTGTGGGGTCTCCACATCCCTCCCCGGCAAAAGCACGCTACCGAGGAACCCCTCATACTGAATTTAAATTCCATGTGCTTGCTGATCATTACCATCTATGCGCAATCCTGCGTTCTGAACCCTCGTCGCGAATGTTTCCCTGCGCAATGCCCTGCCCTGCGCAATGGCCCGCATACAAGCAACGCTCCGAGACCACCCCCTGCGCACCCCCTCTGGTGTCGAGAAAGTGCCACGCCTGCCGTACCCTGCGCCATGGCCCGCGTAGACGCCGCGCTCAGGGACCACCCACTGTGCGCCCCCTCTGGTGTCGAGAAAATGCAACGCTTGCCGTGCCCTGCGGCATGGCCCGCATAGACGCCGCGCTCAGGGACCACCCGCTGCGCACCCCCTCTGGTGTCGAGACTGCCACACCCTGCGGTGTGGCTGTGGCACGCCTGCCACGCCCTGACACGCATAGCGACCCCACCCCCTGCGCACCCCCTGCGGTGTGGAAAATGTACCACGCCTGCAACGCCCTGGGACCCTGGCACGCATAGCGACCCCACCCCCTGCGCACCCCCTGCAGTGTGGAGACTGTGACACGCCTGCCGCGCCCCGGGACCCTGGCACGCATAGCGGCCCCACCCCTGCGCACCCCCTGCGGTGTGGAGACTGTGCCACGCCTGCGGTGCCTGGACGAGAGGCGCGCATAGCGGCCGCGGTGAGAGACTACCCCCTGCGCACCCCCTCTGGTGTCGAGAAAGTGCCACCCCCTCTGGTGTCGGAAGAGGAGGAGAGGGAGGAGGGAGGATGGAGGTGTGAGGAAGACGCGGGTGCGACGCGGGTGGGAAGAAAACCAGAACCCCACGAAACATGTGGGGAAAAATCAACCCTTCTACCCTAAGACCCTTACCCTAACACCTAACCCTAAACCCTAAACCTAAACCCTAACCCCTGATCCGAACCGCCCGCCCGCACGCCCGCGCGCCCGCCCGCCCGCCCGCCCAGGTGCCCGCCCGCCCGCCCGCCCGCGCGCGCGCCCGCCCGCCCGTCCGCGCGCCCGCCCGCGCGCCGACCCGCCCGCCCGCGCACGCGCCAGCCCGCCCGCCCACCCGCGCCCCCGCCCGCGCGCCCGCCTGCCCGCCCGCCAGTCCCCAGCCCTAAACCCTAACCCTAACCCCCTAACCCTAAACCCTAACCCCCTAGCCCTAACCCTAAACCCTAACTCTAACACCCTAAACTTAAACCCGAATCCGAACTCCAAACCCTAAGCCCTAACCCTAACCCACTAGCCCAAACCCTAACCCCTTACCCTAACCCTTGCCCTAACCCCTAAACCTAAACCCACAACCCGATACCCTAACCCTAAACCCTAAACCCTAACCCAAAACCCTAACCCTAGCCGTAGCCCTGTTCCAACCCTTACCCAAACCCTAACCCGAAACCCTAGACCCTAACCAAAGCCCTAACTCTAAACCCTAAACCTTTAAACCCTAACCGTAACACTACACTAACTCGAACCCGAACCCTCACCCTAATCCTAAACGTACACCCTAAAACCTAACCCTGACCCCCACCCTGACCTCACCTCCCTCCCCCGCTCCTCTGCCTCCTCCCCTCCTTTTCGATAGGAGGATAATGTGAGTGGCTAAGCCCCCTACCCTCCCTCCGCCCCTTCCCCTCCATCCCTCCCTCCTCTCTCCCCTCCCTCCCCTCCATCCCCTCCGTCCCCTGCTTCTCCCTCCGTCCCCTCCCTCCTGCCCCCCCCCCCTGCATTCCAATCGATTGCCATCGAATCGATTGCAATCCAAACGATTGCAATCTAATCGATTGCAGTCCAAACAATTCCAATCCAATCACATGCAATCCATTGCAATGCAATCCCCCTCCTCCCCCTCCATCCTCCCCTCCCACCCAAAGAGGGTAAGGAGGGGGGCTTCAAGCCCCCCCCCCCTTTGGAAACAAAGGGGAGGAGGGGGGGGAGCTTCCGAAGCCCCCCCCTTTCACAGGGGAGCCTGGGCTGACCTCTGGCTCCGAAAAAGGAAGGGAGGGAGGGGGAGTAGCTTCGAAGCCCCCCCCCTCCCCCTTTCCGACCACGAGCAGAGGGGAGGCGGGGTTGTAGCTTCCGAAGCCTCCCCCCTTTCAAAGGGGAGCCCGGGCTGACCTCCAGCTCCGAAAAGGAGGGAGGGGGGGTAGCTTCGAAGCCCCCCTCCTTTCCAGCCACGAAAAAGGAGGAAGTGGGGGGGGGCTTCCGAAGCCCCCTCCTTTAGCCAGGGAGGGAGGGGGGGTGGCTTCAAGCTGGGGCCACCCTTTTACTCGAAATCCCTTATAAATCGTCCTTGGGGTCTGATTGTTTAATTCGTAACTGGGGGTTCTGATTTATTGGGCGTTTTCTTCACATCAGAGCTTAGGAGGATCCGGTTTATTAAGGCGCCTTTTGGCAATCACTATTCAGCTAGTGTTTTGTATGCAGCACTGTCGTTTTCGCGGCCATTGCTGCGAATCACCACCATCATCGGCATCAGCGGCGGCGGCGATGGTAACGCCATGGCGTTGTGAATCACGACGGCGACGACACGCTATTTTTGCGACGGCGGCTTTCCCAAGTACAGAGGTCTGCGCCTCAGCCCCCAAACTCGCATTACAACCCGTTGCAATCGCATTCACCTCCCGCCCGACATCTTTAAACACAATTGCTGTTTTGCTAAGGGGGTGTCCAGAATATTGAGGCGTCCTCTTGAAATGGGGGGTCCAGAATATTAGGTCGCATTCGCAGGGGGATCCGTTTTTTTTAAGGGGGGTCGATCAATAGGGGATTTCGAATAATCTGTCGGTCGCTGCGGGCGCGGTCCATCGAAGGTGTCTCGGCAGTTGGGAGTGGTCTAGGGCCTGGTGTGGAGGCGGCCCCATAAAGCTTTTCCAAACGGCCCCAAGATGCAGGCGGGCCCAGGAGGCGTGTCCAGGCGGCCGTGTGAGGCATCTCCAAGCAGCCCCTGAAGGCTTCTCCAGGCGGCCCCAGAAGGCGTCTCCAGGCGTCCCTGGGAAGCGTGTCCAGGCGGCCCCAGGAGGCGTCTCCAGGCGGCCCTTGAAGACTTCTCCAGGCGGCCCCAGGAAGCGTCTCCAGGCGGCGTGTTCAGGCGGCCCCAGTCCAGGCGGACCCAGTCCAAGCGGCCCCAGGAGGCGCCTCCGAAGGCCCCTCCAGGCGGTCCCAGAAGGCCTCTCCAGGCGGTCCCAGAAGGCCTCTAGGCGGCCCCAGAAGGCCTCTCCAGGCGGCCCCAGAAGGCCTCTCTCGGTAGAAGTTCGGAACTTGGTTCTGGAGTTCGTGGGTTTGCTGTAGTTTCGTCTAGGGCTTGGTGCGGGGCTTGCTGGGCCAGGGGAAGGTCCTCCTTGTCACCCCTGCTGGGGTGCCTGGAGTGATGGTCTCGAGGGCTTCCTCCTCCAGGGCTGGAGGGGGGTCCCTGATCTGAAGGTTCTTGAGGTGGTCTGTGGCAGATCGGAGTGGTCTGTAAGGCCTGGTGCGGGGTCTGATGCTTGCTTGGGGGCTTCCGGGTCCAGGGAAGGTCCCCTCTGTCACCCCTGCCTGGGTGCCCGGGGAGGGTTCTCCGCTCTGGGGCTGGGCGCCCCGGAGACTCGCTTGGCGGCCCGCGGCGGGCATCCAAGGTAGGCGCGACGAAGCCGTAGCAGAACAGCTCGTTGCCTGGGCAGCTTCGCGAAACTGTAGGTTTTCAGGAGCTCTGAGGGCTCAGAGGTCCAGAGCACGCATGTGAGGCTCTCGCGAAGGTCAGGGAGAGCTCAGAGTGGTCCAGGGTCCGGGCTGGGGTCTGGGGCGTGGTGCACCTGGGGTACGACAGGCGGCGCTTGAGAGTGTCTGAGGCAGCTCAGAATGGTCCAGGGCTCGGGGTGGTGTGTGCGGCAGGTTAAGAGTGGTCGGAGTGATCTTGGCGCCAGGGTGGGGTCTGGAGCGTGGTGCGGCTGTGGAGCGACACGAGGCGGTTGAGAAGATCTGGAATAGGTCAGAGTGTCTAGGGCTCGGGGTAGGTATGGGGCTTGGTCTGGGGCTTGCGAGCGCATGGGAAAGACCCCCTTCTGTCACCAGTAGATGCGAGGCCCGGGTATCTGAGACCGTGAGGGCATGCCGCGGCCGCGGCCGCGGTCGACAGGAAGCTCCCGAGAGGATCTGGGGAAGCTCAGAGTGGTCCAGGGCCTGGGGTGGGGTTGAGCAACTTCCTGCGTCATGGGACGGTCCTTCTGGAGCCGTCGGGGCCGTCGGGGAGGGTGCTGAAGGCTCTCTGGGAGGCCGTCCTGGGCCGAGCTGGGGGCGAGGGAGCCGCCGGCGAGCGGCCCAGGGGCCTTGTGGAAGGGGCCGGGAGCTCGGTGTGTGGCATGGGGCTCGGTTTGGGGCTTGCGGGAAGCCGTCTTGGGGCGATCTGGGGGTCGCGGCTCGGGCGAGGGAGCCGTCGGCGAGCGGCCCAGGGGCCTTTCGGAACCGTCGGGGGCTTGGTAGGTGTGGGGCTCGGTTTGGGGCTCGCGGGAAGCCGTCTTGGGGCGATCTGGGGGTCGTGGCTCTCCTGGAGGCCGTCTTGGGCCGAGCTTGGGCTGAGCTTGGAGCGGCCCAGGGGCCTTCTGGAGGTGTCGGGGCTCTGTGTGGGGTATGGGGCCTGGTCTGTGGCTCGCGGGAAGTCGCCTTGGGGCGACCTGGGACCGTTGGGGTCATCGGCAAGCGGCCCAGGGGCCTTCTGGGGCCGTCGGGGAGCGCGCTGAAGGAAGGCTCTCTGGGAGGCCGTGTTGGGCCACGCTGGGAGCCTGGGGGCCGCGCTGAGGGCCCGGGAGCCGTCGGCGAGCGGTCCGGAGCCGTCGAGGAGCGTGCTATGAAGACGCCCTGGGGGCGAATTTGGCGATCTGGGCCTTGCTTTCCGCGCGGACGCCCCGCGGGCTCTCGGGGCACCCTGGTGCGGGCTTTCGGCTAAAAGCCCTTCTCGCACGCGCTTTGGGCAGAAGTGTAACACGGATGACGTCGTGCTCCACCTTCGCCTCCCGCATTTCGCTCAGCAGCGCCAGAGCATGCTGCCACTGCTCGCCCTTCTCGCACGCGCTGATCCCAGCGCTGTAGCTGACTAGGGCTGACCCGCGGACTACGTCCACTCGCAGGGGGAGGAGGAGTGCCGCCAGGCGCGTTCAATTACGTTAGGCCACGTTGTCTTCCCACGTCCTCTTTCAGCAAGGAAAGGGGGGATCTTTCCGAAAAGCGATTGTCCAGTCCTTCTGCGCCGAGATGCACCTGGAGCCGTGGAGAGCTTGAGGACAAAATTCAACGGCTGGGCAATGTGTTCAATCTGTCCGCGGCAGGCCGGAGGCCTCAGCGATGGACCCGGGTAGCCGCGGACAAAACTCAACACGCCACCTTCGCGTGAAATTTTGTCCTAAGCTCGGGGGGCGCGGGACCCTCACGTCAAATCTCGGTCTCGGGCCCAGACCCCGCGTCAAAATTCGCCCTCGGGCGGTCATGCCGCGCACTGTGGCGGCCTTGGTGGGCCTCCATGGACGCAGGTCGGAGCCGTCGTAAGCGGCGTCGGGAGGCTCCTGGGGCGTCTTGGGGCTATCCTTGAGGGTATCTGGGGCCGTCTGAAGCCATTCTGGGGCTCACTGGGGGCATCGTCGGCGGCCGGAGCCTGAAAAAAAGCTGGAAGGGTGAGATCTTTGAAAAACTTAAAGGGGTACATGGTTTTGGCCTCTTTAGAGTGTCGCTGGAGCCCTCGGATCTTGAGAATCGGGCGACTCGGCGCGTCCGTTTGTGCCAGAGGACAAGACCCAACGCCTGAGCCTTGGGGACATCTTGGGGCCGTCTTGGGCGTCTCTCGGACCGTCTTACGCCGTTCAGGGCGTTCTTGGGCGCTTCTAGGGCTGTCTCGGGCCCGTCTCGGGCCGCTCTTGGAGCCCTCTTGAGCTGTCCTGGGCGCCTCTTGGGCTGTCCTGGGGCCGCCTTGGACCGCACTGGGCCCCCTGGAGGCCCTCTTGGGGCGTCTCGGGAAGATCTTGGGGGCCTGTCTGCCCGTCGTGGGCGCCGTGAAGACGAGGAAAGCGAATATGTTAAAAATGAGCGTTTTCCCCGGTGATGGGGACGACTTTTACTTCTGGGAGCCCTCTTGGACGTCTCTTGGAAGGGGCTTGGAGGCCTCTTGAGCCGTCTGGAGGCACGCCTGAACGTCCCGACACCGTCTCGGGAACGTCTTCGGCCCACCCCAGCGCTCCCTGGAGGCATTCTGCCGCGCGCTGGAGCCGCCAGGCGGCGCGCCGGGGCGCGCCCGGGGCGTGCCATGGGGCCCGCCGAGGCCGATTTCGTACACCTGAGAACTTTCCCTTCCCGCACGCGCTTGTGCCTGCCATGTAGGAGAGGCTAGTGTGTACCTGTGGTATGATCACCGCTATCGACGTTGAGGGGGGCAGTGCTTGTAGGGCGTGCCTGCGACACAGATCGAAGCAGTTCTACTGGTCACATCACTCATCGAGTGTGGTCGAAGGACGATGACGTCGGCTGCATCTGGCATTTTGTGGGATTGTCTGTCTGGTCGCGTGTATGATCGAATGCGGACGATGAACGACGGCGACAACGACAAGTCGACGACGACGTCGCCGCCCCTCGTGGGGCGGATTCGCTGGGGGGAATCGCCTCAATCGAAGCATTGCAGTGCAGTGCTTTCTTGGAATGCACTTCAGCCCATCTTCGAAGCCTCCTCGTGGTCTCGTGGGGCCCGCTCCTGCCTCCCCTGCGGCGTCAGGCGGGACTGAGGCGACTTCTGGGAGCGCTCGGAGGGGCCCCAAGTGGGCCCGGAGAAAATACACAGGCAAGTGGCGTCACTGCACTTGCTTGTGGGCTCTCTTGGGATCCACTGGAAGCCGCTCTGAAAGCCCTTCAGAGGCCTCTTGGGGCCTACTCGGGCCTACCCTGGGGCTTCAGGCGGGTCTCAGGCGGCGCTGGGGGCGCTCCGAGGGGGCCCCAAGTGGGCCCAGAGAGAGTCCCAAATCAGGAGTGGTGCCACTTGCTTGTGGGCCATCTTGGAGGGCTTTTGGAGCTCTCTGGGGGTCTCCTCGGGGCCCTCTCGGAGCTGCAGCTACCCTGGGGCTCCAGGCAGAAGTCAGGCGAGCTCCTGGGAAGCTCCAACAGGGCCCCAAGTGCACCCCAAGAGGGCCCAAAAGGAAGTGGCGTCACTCCACTTGCTGCTGGGCTCGCGGAATACACTTCAAGCCGACTTCGAAGCCTCCTCGTGGTCTCGTGGGGCCCGCTCCTGCCTACACTGCGGCTTCAGGCGGGACTGAGGCGGCCTGTGAGAGCGCTCGGAGAGCGCCCCAAGTGGGCCCGGAGAGAATCCACACGCAAGTGGCGTCACTCCACTTGCTTTGGGGCTCTCTTGGAATCCACTTGAAGCCGCTCTGAAAGCCTTCCTGGGGCCTCTTGGGGCTTTCTTGGGCCGTCTTGGGGCCCTCTGGGGCCGTCTCGGCTCGGAACCTTCTGGGGCCGGCTTGGGCTGGCTTGGGGGCCTCTGAGACCCTTTGGCCGTCTTGGAACCGTCTTGGCGCTATCTTGGGCCATCTTGGGAGCCTCGGGGGCCGCCCTGGCGCGGTGTGGGAGGCCTCTGGAGGCTGTCGTCAGTGGCTGGAGCCGAAAAGGGTGAGAACACGAGGAACATTGAAGAAGCCAGAGAAAATCAATAAATTAGGCCTCTGGAAGCGCTACCTGGGAGTCTCTTGGGGCAGTCCTGGGGCGTCAAGGGCTCTTGGGCTGTCTGGGGGCCACGTTCGGCAATCTTGCGCCTGCGCCGTCTCCTGCGCCATCGGGGCCTCGCCGAAGGCTGCCGAGGCGGCTCCGAGGGCCCGCCCGGAGCGGCCCAGGCCCCAGCCCGGGGTCCCGGAGGGGACCGGTTGCCATCGCTGGTCCTTTTCGCGCGCGCTGTCCGCGGTATTGTAGGGTAGATGACGTCGGGCTCCAGCTTCGCCTCCCGCATCTCGCTCAGCAGCGCCAGCGCCCGCTGCCACTGCTCGCTCTTCTCGCACGCGCTGATCCCAGCGTTGTAGGGGACGATACGTGAAGGGCTGACCCGCGGCCTTCCGGCCGCGGAATCTGCACCCCCTCCTGCCGCGACCCCCTCCTTCCGCGTCGCACCGCACCCGCCCCCCCTCCCCGCCCCCCCCCACCCTTCTCCAGCGCACCCCCCTGCTCGCCCCGCTCCCCTTCCTACCCCCCCCCAGCGTTCCCCAGTGGCCCAGTGGAACCTCAGCCCAGTGCCCCTCCGCCCCGACAACTTTATTCCGCGTCGCACCGCGCCCTCCCCCCCCATCCCCGCTCCCCCCCCCGCCCCCCCCCGCCCGCATTCTCCCCCCCCCCCCCACACCCTTCGTCAGCCACGCCCCTGCCCGCTCCCCTCCCAACCCTCCCCAGCGCGCCCCAACAGCACAATGGAACTTTCGCCCAATGCCCCCTCCGCCACGACAACCTTATTCCGCGTCGCAGCGCGCCCGCACCCCCTCTCCGCCCCTCCCCAGCCCCAGCGGCCCAGTGGAACCTCAGCCCAGTGCCACCTCCGCCCCCACCATTTTTCAGCGTTGCACTGCACCCCCCTCCTCCTCTCCCCAGCGTTCCCCAGAAGTCCAATGAAATCACCGCCGAATGCCCCCTCCGCCTCGGCCATTTTATTCCGCGTCGCACCGCACACCCTTCCTCCTCTCCCCAGCGTTCCCTAGAGGCATAGTAGAACCTCCGCCCAGTGCCCCATCCGCCCCGACTATTTTATTCCGCGCCGCACCGCGTCCGCTCCCCCCCCCCTGCCCGCCCCCCTCCCAACCCTCCCAAGCGTGCCCCAACGGCCCAATGGAACTTCCGCCCACTGCCCCATCTGCCCCGATCATCGTATTCCGCGTCGCACTGCGCCCGCCCCCCCCCCCCCCGCCTCTCTCTCTCCGCCCCTCCCCAGCCCCAACGGTCCAGAGGAGCCTCCGCCCAGTGCCACGTCCGCCCCCACCATTTTGCAGCGTCGCACCGCGCCCCCCTCCTCCTCTCCCCAGCGTTCCCCGGAGGCCCAGTGGAACCTCCGCCCAGTGCCCCCTCTGCTCCGACCATTTTGTTATCTTGCACAGCTGTGTTCTAGAGCTCGGACGTCTTTATTGTCGTTTGTCGATCGTTCGTCGTTCGTCGTTCGTCCTCCCCCCGCGGCCACGGAAGGAAACTCCTGGAGGAAGGAAGCGAAACCATCCTGTCCCTCGCAGCTCGTTGGTGCAAGAGCCAGGACACGCGTGCCACTTGTCTGCTCTTCGCCAGGGCCAAATGGTAATTTTATCTGGAAATGTGGTGACAATGGGGCCGGTGGGCGCGGCCTAAGACGCCCGCAAGAGGGCGGCGAGACGGCCCAAAAGGTCTCCAGGACGAGCCAAGAGGCTTGCCTTACGGCCCCAGAGGGCCCCACGAACTCCCCAAGACGGGCCCCAGTGCGAGGACACGAATCGACCTTTCGAGCGCACCGCCCCAAGACGTCCCCCAAAGGCGCAGAGATGGCTCCCAGAGGGTCCAAGAAGCCCCCCCCAAGACGACGCTGGAAATTCGACGCCCCCCGAGAGAGAAGGATCCAAGGCCTCTTGAGGGCCGTTTGCGGGCCTCTCTTCGTCCTCCTGGGGGTCTCTCGGGGCCCTCTTGGGCCGTCTTGAGTGCCTCTTGGGCCGTCTTGGGGCGATGTGGGGCCGTCTCGGGCGCCTCTCGGACCATCTTGGGGCCGTCTTGGGGCCATCTTGGGCGCTCTTGGGGCTGTCTTGGATGTTTCTCGGGCAGTCTCTGGCGCCTCTGGGGCCGTCCCAGGCCTGTCTCAGGCCGTGTTGGGGTCTTCCTGGGGGCGTCTGGGAGCGTCTTGGGGCGATCTGGGGGCCTGTACAGCCGTCTTGGAGACTGTGCAGATGGAAAGGATTGCAGACGGGGCCGTGGGGGCCTGTACAGCCGTCTTGGAGACGGGGCGCTGGGGCCGTCTTGGGCCATTATGAACTGCTTTGGG